ATATTTGGCCTTGTGTTTTAGGTTATTGCCCTGCTGAAAGGTGAATTTGTCTCCCAGTGTCTGTTGGAAAGAAGACTGAACCAGGTTTTCTAGGATTTTGCCTGTGCTTAGCTCTATTCAGTTTCTTTTTATCCTAAAAACACTCCCTAGTCCTTGGCGATGACAAGCATACCTATAACATGATGCAGCCACCACCCTGTTTGGGCATATGAAGAGTGGTGTGGTGTGTTGTGTTGGATTTGCCCCAAACATAACGTTTTGTTTTCAGGACATAAAGTACATTTCTTTGCCCCTTTTTTTTTTGCAGTTTTACTTTAGTGCCTTATTGCAAACAGGATGCATGTTTTGAAATATTTGTATTCTGTACAGGCTTCCTTCTTTTCACTCTGCCATTTAGGTTTGTATTGTGGAGTAACTATGATGTTGTTGATCCATTCTCAGTTTTCTCCTATCACAGCCATTAAACACTGTAACTGTTTTAAAGTCACCATTGGCCTCATGGTGAAATCCCTGAGCAGTTTCCTTCCTCTCCGGCAACTGAGTTAGGAAGGACACCTGTATCTTTATAGTGACTGGGTGTATTGAGTGTATTGATACACCATCCAAAGTGTAATTAATAACTTCACCATGCTCAAAGGGATATTCAATGTCTGTTAAAAAAAATATATTTTTACCCATTTACCAATAGTTGCCCTTCTTTGCGAGGCATTGTAAAACATTCCTGGTCTTTGTGGTTGAATCTGTGTTTGAAATGTACTGCTTGACTGAGGGGCCTTACAGATAATTTTATGTGTGGGGTACAGGGATGAGGTAGTCATTCAAAAAGCATCTTAAAGACTATTATTGCACACAGTGTCCTTGCAACTCATGTGACTTGTTAAGCTAATTTATACTCCTAAACGTATTTAGGCTTGCCATAACAAAGGGGTTGAATACTTATTGACTCAAGACATTTAAACTTTTAATTTGTAATTCATTTGACATTATGTGGTATTGTGTGTAGGCCAGTGACACAAAGTCTCAATTTAATCCATTTTAAATTCAGGCTGTAACACAACAAAATGTGGAAGAAGTCAAGGGGTGTGAATACTTTCTGGGCATTGTATCATGGTCCAAACACACCAACACAGTCATGAAGAGGGCACAACAAAGCCTCTTCCCCCTCAGGAGGCTGAAAAGATTTGGCATGGGCCCTCAGATCCTCAAAAAGTTCTACAGCTGCAACATTGAGAGCATCTTGATTGGCTGCATCACGGCTTGGTATGACAACTTCTTGGCATTCGGCCTCAACGCGCTAGAGGGTAGTGCGGACGGCCCAGTACATCACTGGGGCCGAGCTCCCTGCCATCCAAGACCTCTATACCAGGTGGTGTCAGAGGAAGGCCCTAAAAATTGTCAAAGACTCCAGCCACCCAAGTCATAGATTGTTCTGTCTGCTACCGCACGGCAAGTGGTATCGATGCACCAACTCTTGAACCAACAAGACCCTAAACGGCTTCTAACCCCAAGCCATAACTCTGCTTAATAGTCAGTTAAATAGTTAACCAAATAGCTACCCGGACTATCAGTCCAGATTCTCTCACCCCTCTTACTTTCCTAAACATGGTAGCCACTTGACTCTTCATTCCTCTTTTACACCTGTCAATATAGTGTATAAACCCCTCACCCAGCTTCTCTCAATATGTGGAGGTGAAGGCTCAAGTAGGCTCGGCTATACAGGGCAGGGTAATACTGTACACTGAGGAAAATAATTTTTTTTTTATACACAATTTTCTGATCACATTATGTGCAAGTGTAGCATGTAATGCTGATTTCATGATCAATTATCACTGCTTGAACCACAGACAGACATGGAGTATGTGTTGGTCATGACACCAGCCAGACAATGTTTAATAAAACACTGAAACCAGATTTACAATCACAATTGAAAGGTGGTTGGCATTTCCTAGATTGATATATGTATGTATGTTGTGTATGACGTCCAACCACAGTGGTGTATATGAGTAGTATAGATATACAGTTCAGTTTAGAAAAACGTCTGTAAGAAAGACCCTTTGGAAATCATCTTGCTACATCTGAGCTCCAAAGCATGCGAAACATAAGCAAGCAATTCGTACTTTTTGTGAGAGAGACTACATGTAATGCAATCATTATTTCAGTATCTCAATGTTGTCATCAATTACATGATATGCTCTCTGTCCTCTAGGATTATTCTGACTTTTCTTTGCATACTCCCAAAATATACCCTCCCTCCCACCTTCCTCCCTCCTCATCCCTTGTTCATTTTTCTCCTTTGAAATGTGTTTAATCCTCTTTTGGTTGAAAATTCATTGTGGCTGTAGCCAGATTACAACTCGTTTGTGTTTCCTTTGAAAGAAATCAAACTTAACAGAGCACCCCATCATATTAAAGCACTTTGGTATCTTAAAGACAGACATCCACTTCATCCAATGTGCAGTCTGTAGCTGCTAGATAAATATCGATATTTTCGCTTTGAAGTGCTTCTGACATAATGCTGTGCTAAAACAATTGTGCGTCCCAAATTGCAACCTATTCCCAGGGCTCTGGTCAAAAGTAGTGCACTATATAGGTAATAGGGTGGCGTTTGGGACGTAGTCATTGTCACTCTAACAGCAAAGTCCCACGCAAGGCTCACAATCCTTCTCCAACTGTATACTCACACTCAGCACTGTTAAATGTTTGTACAAAAAAAAGATTATGAAAACAAAAAGATTTATAAACAAAACAAAGCAACAACTAAAACATTATCTACATTCAGCTACGACTCGTTATTTTAATTGTGACAATGGTTCAAAAATAAACGTGCAATAGTGCAATTTCTCAGTTTTCGGTCTGCAAACACTTTTCTTTCTATCTTTGTCTCCATATGTTGTCCCATATGTCATCACTTAGGGCTGCAAAATTCCTGTAACTTTCCCCAAATTCCCAGGTTTTCCAGAAATCCTGGTTGTACGACTGCGTATTTCCTGCTTATTTCCTCCTGATTCCAAAAATCTTCGGACCGAGATTTCTGGAAAACCTGGGAAATTGGAGGAATTTTGCAATCCTATCATCACTGCACGCGTCTTGGTTGATCAGTGGCGGCTCCTCCGCATATTGCTTCTGCCAGAGATCCTCCGGCTCTGGTCCCTCAGTACCTGGTCCCAACGCCTCACCTTCCTCCCCATACGGTCCTTCCACTTCTGTGCAATGGAGCCTTCGATGAGCAGAAGCCTACATGTATGACAGACAAGTACAGTGCTTTCAGAAAGTATTCAAACCCCTTGACTTTTTCCACATGTTGTTGTGTTACAGCCTGCATTAAAAATGTATTACATTGAGATTTTGTGTCTCTGATCTACAGACAATACCCCATAATGCCAGTGGAATTATGTTTTTAGAAAAGTTTACAAATTAATTAAAAATGAAAAGCTGAAATGTCTTGAGTCAATACTATTCAACCCCTTTGTTATGGCAAGCCTAAATACGTTCAGGAGTAGAAATGAGCTTAATAAGTTGCATGGACACTGTGTGCAATAATAGTGTTTAACATGATTTTTAAATTACTACCCCATCTCTGTACCCCATTACATACAATTATCTGTAAGGTCCCTAAATTGAGCAGTGAATTAAGCCCAGATTCAACCACAAAGACCACAGAGTTTTTTTCCTTCATATTTTCAAGAATGGTGGTGGCTGCATCATGATGCTTGTCATTGGCATGGACTAGGGAGTTTTTTTGGATCAAAAGAAACAGGATGGAGCTAAACACTGGCAAAATCCTAGAGGAAAACCTGCTTCAGTCTGCTTTCCAACAGACACTGGGAGACAAATTCAACTTTCAGAAGGACAATAACCTAAAACACAAGACTAAATATACACTGCATGTACAAAACATTAGGAACACCTTCCTAATATTGAGTTGCACCCCCTTTTGCCCTCAGAACAGCCTCAATTCATCGGGGGCATGGACTCTACAAGGTGTCGAAAGCATTCCACAGGGATGCTGGCCCATGTTTATTCCAATGCTTCCCACAGTTGTGTCAAGTTGGCTAGATGTCCTTAGGGTGATGGACCATGCTTGATACACACGGGAAACTGTTGAGTGTGAACAATCCAGCAGCGTTGCAGTTCTTGACACACTCAAATCGGCGCGCCTGGCACCTACTACCTCCCAGACAGTTTACCTAAACCCTTCAATGGTTTCTTCCAGGTTAATTCTGAAATCCATCTATATAACACAAGACACTGCGATAACCTTCACCCTCCACACAGTCAATTCTCTATCAGATACAGAGGTACCATACCCTGGAATTCTTATCTTCACATTGCCAAAACCTCATCATCCCTCAATAACTTCAAGCGAAGACTGTGGGTCAGCCTGATGAACCACACTACTCGGTAATCTCCTCTCACACTCACATCCACACACATTTAAACAAAACATATACTTTTTTTTTTTTTTATGATTGTTGATCGGTTCATTTGTACATTTGTGATTAGTCGGTTTTGTTATCTGTTTTAACAAACCTTTTCTTTTTGTACTTATGTATTGTATATCGTTTTTTTGTGGTGCGGTTTTTATATAAGCCCTTGGGCTTCCAACCACACCTGCACACCGTTTTGTATTTATTTGTTTTTATCTCTATTGTTGTTTATCACTTATTTTCTTTGGTGCAAATAAATTAAACCAAAATTTGAAAAACAGTTAAGTGGTGTGAATACTTTCTGAAGGCACAATAGGTGGCATATGAGTTACAATGTGGTATGAATTACAATACAGCTACAGTAGGTCCTAATGCCTTCCTTAAATGAAGAAGAGGGTTGGAGTCCTTTCCATTTCAATTCCGCCAATTCAGAAAGTATGCAGTAAATTCCATTCCAATTCCTATTCTCCTCCATTGCTTTTCAATTATGACATTTGGAATTGGAATTGACCACTATCCTGATGTAGACAATAATCAACTATCCCATTAATGATTGTTGCTATTAGAGATCTATTAAAATGACTGGCTCAAGACATACCTGGATCTCTCCTCATTCTCATAACCCATGATGATGTACTCGTCATTGGCGGTGAGAGGAGGACATGGACAGCCAGAGTTGTAGTACAGTGTGACTGTATCACGAGGGATGTTCACGAAGGAAGACTTCAGGATGTCTTTGACCTCCACGATGGCACTCAAGTCATGATTCCTGCTTCTAATCTCCTTCACCCTCGCACGAATCACTGGGAAGAAAACATTAAACAATACTTTACATTTGAAGGCTACTTGTTTGACTGAACATACTTGTTTCCTGGACACTAACTAAGCCTAGTCCAAGACTACTTTGAGGAGATTCCATTGAGAATGCTTTTCAGTCCAGGACTATAAATGTAATCTGTGTCTGGAAAACTGTCCCGCAGAGTTTTAGGACAATGATAAAATCATGCATCGTAATAATCAGCTATCTAAGTAACTACATCGCTCTCATTCTATAATCTTTTCCCACTCTTTTATGAACTGCAAAGAGAATTGCTTATGAAAATCATACAGAAAATCGTAAATGAGTAATAGCTCACCATAGTTGTAATTATTCTTTAGATAGGTCTTGAGACCCAGTTTTACTGACTTGCACTTGCATCGATCTGAAACAATAAAGGAATAATGTGATACATTGTAGAACATCTGGGATTTAAATAGCCCTAAATCTACACGTTTGTGAACAGCAAAATTACATTCTGGAAATTAATGTAATGAAAAACATGAGGTGAAAATCTATACCGTATTCTAATATAACTGTTCATATTATTCTGCACTAAATTCAATAGCCAAACATCATTTTTAAGATACATTTGCAGTATGTTCAACAACAGCTCCATGTAAAAGTATCCAAATGTTTGATGAAGCAAAGAAAATGTGATTATTATTTTACCATTGTTGGCTCCTTTACAGTTGACATTGTGAGAATCACTTGGAAAGTCAGGAGTTGATTCTGAATAAAACCAACTATGATGAGAACATTTTCACTCAAGAACAGTATCAACTTCACAAGTAGCCTCTAATGTCATAGGCTACTGTAGTTACGTTTTTCTATGGCACTTTATAGTGGTAACATAATCAATTGTAATGTTTCATCCACAGAACATTCAAGGGTCACATGCATCTTACCAGGTGAGCATTTTGAGGGGTCTTGATAGTAAGGGTTGTCTAAGTAACAGACAGGAATAAAGTTGACTTCTGCTGTAGAGAATCTTATAGACTACAGATATTCTCATCATCATCATCATCATACTTTTTTCCTCTGATCTCTGGTCTTGATATTATGTGAGGTAGCCTGTATTTATTCACAATATCTATTTCAAAACTACACTATGGAATCTTCATCGTCATCATCACCCATATCCTACCTGGTCCTTCTGCTTTTACAATGGCCTCAGGTGAGATACAGACTCCCCGGTCGTAGACTGGCAGATCCTCGCAGGCCAAGCTCTCTGGCCAGGTGTGATTATAACGTTTCATCACCGGTTCACAGCCGCACTTCGCCCGCTCACACACCGACTTGCAGGGCTTGATAGGGTCGTGTTGGAAGTCAATAGTGCATATTGGGGCGTACATGGCGCACAGAAAGAACAGTAAATCTGTACTGCACTGGGTGCCAAGAAGCCCTTCGAACTGCTCAATGGCCAGGACTGCGTTCGCCTGGGTGCTGTGGTGGAGGTGGTTGGGCATTTTCGTCATGTTCCAAGGCATGGACTTGCACAGAGGGATCCGAATGGGCTCACATGCCGCCGAAGACGCTCTGGGTATACCAAACAGACAGGTAACCGCGAGGAAGGAGACGAATAACTCATGGGAAAACATGATCATCTTCAGTTATATGCTGACAGTTGGTTTAGGATAATCAAGAAATCTAAATGCACTGCCTGATTATGAAGTCGGCATGGATAAACTTCAACGCGTAATGAAATCCTAAAATATATAGCTAGCACTAAAGTCGTTTTCTAAGGTTGTCTGTCTACCTGGCCGTGTCTAAACTTTGCGTCACGTAAAAGGAAAGAGGATCAAAAGTCATCTTTCGTGCGTAAAACCAAAAGAACAAAGTAGCCTATTTGAATTGAATTCCTCGTGGACGGTGAAGTGAAGATTGATATAGTTTTCCCACTGTTTTGCTGCTTATTCCATTGGCGCGTGTGTGGTCATATTTCGAGTGGACTGGCGGAGTGGAGCTGAGTGGGCTGGTGGCTCCGCTCTCTCTATCTCTTCCTCCCCAGACCAGTTAGCACTGCAGTGATTGCTCGCTGGAATCGGAGTGACCTCACTCTGCGGGACCAGCTTTTTTACCCTCCACAAATTTCCTCTATCATCATTATGCCTGTCTGACCCTCCTCCTACTCCTGCTTCAAGCCAACACCAAGCAGGGATGGAGAACTTGCCCCACAGCCTTCTTTGAAAAACATGGACATTAGGCTAGATATGGGATGGGCAACTGGTGGATCAATTTCCACACAAAAATAAATATATATAAATACACTGAACAAAAATATAAACGCAACATGTAAAGTGTTGCATGTTTCATGAGCTGAGTTAAAAAATCAGGGAGTATTTCTGACTGTAATAAAGTCCTTTTGTGGGGGAAAACTCATTCTGATTGGCTGGGCCTGGCTCCCCAGTGGGTGGGCCTAGCTGCCAAGTGGGTGGGCCTATGACTTCCCAGGCCCACCCTTGGCTGCACCCCTTCCCAGTCATGTGAAATCCATAGATTAAGGCCTAATGAATTTATATATATACACTGAGTGTACAAAACATTGATAACACCTTCCCAATATTGAGTTGCACCCCTCCCCCCTTTGCCCTCACAACAGCCTAAATTCGTCAGGGCATGGACTCTACAAGGTGTCGAAAAGCGTTCCACAGGGATGCTGGCCCATGTTGACCCCAATGCTTCCCACAGTTGTGTCGAGTTGCCTGGATGTCCTTTGGGTGGTGGACCATTTTTGATACACACAGGAAACTGTTGAGTATGAAAAACCCAGCAGCGTTGCAGTTCTTGACACAAACCGGTGCACCTGGCACCTACTACCATACCCCGTTCAAAGGCACTTAAATCTTTTGTCTTGCCCATTCACGCTCTGAATGGCACACATACACAATCCATGTCTCAATTGTCTCAAGGCTTAAAATCATTATTTAACCTGTCTCCTCCCCTTCATCTACACTGATTGAAGTGGATTTAACAAGTGACATCAATAAGGGATCATAGCTTTTACCTGGATTCACCTGGTCGGTCTATGTCATGGAAAGAGCCGGTGTCCTTAATGTTTTGTACACTCAGTGTTTTTATCTTGTTATGTCAGTCACTGACAGTCACTCAATTAGCACGTCAGCTAATATTTTTTACATTGGTAAATTAGTCTAGCGAGCTATCTATACTTGTAGTAATGATGGTCGAATTATTGACTGGGGCCCCCATTAATTTTGTTAGTCATTAACTCAGATATTGTCAAGACTTCCGCCGAGGCTGCCTCCCCTCCTTGTTCTGGCAGGCTTCGGCGTTCGTCGTCACCAGCTTACTAGCCACTGCCGCTCCATTATTCATCATTCCATTTGTCTTGTCTTGTCAATCACACACACCTGGTTCTTATCCCCTCATTAGTATGTGTATAAGTGTTCCCTCTGGCCACCTTGTCCTTGTGGGTGATTGTTTATTTGTGAGAGTAGTGTAGCTCGGTGGAGCTACTCGTACCTTGTTATTGCCGGGGTAGATGTTTCCCCTGTGCCTGTTATTGTTGGAGCTACCGTTACCTTGTATTGCCAGGGTAGATATTTCCCCTGTGCCTGTTTCGTGTGTCGCTATCCAGTGCTATGTGTGTACGACGGAATACACTCTGCATTCCCCTGCTCCTGACTCCTTCTATCACACTCATCACAGAGATGTGTTGAATTGGAGCAAACTTGCTTTAAAACTGCAACATGTTCTATACTCCCCATTGCAAAATTGGTAGAATTGCAGGAAATTAACTCTAAAACATTTTTTTCCCTCTCCACTCTCAATAGGGGGGCCTCTAAAATGGTTTGCTCACAAGGTGGGGGGTATGGATGTTGGTACGCAGACCTGCGAGCCACTGCGGCCCCTCATGATGAGTTCAGATTTTTTGTGGCCCCCACACTCATCAAAGATGCCCATCCCTGGCCTATTCATTTTTATTTGGAAGTAAACAGTCATGATGACCCTTATGAAGTCACCATTATGAAGTCTCCATTATGAAGACATGGGGTGTGTTCGTAAATTCACTCTGGATTATCAAAGAGCGCTCTGGGCGTTCGTAAATTCAGAGCGTTGTCAGATTGTCCGTTAGTAAATTCAGAGCGTTTCGCTCTCGGAGCACACTGGATGCTCTGGCTGTGGAGTAGGGTTGATCAGAGCGTTCTGACCTCACGTCAGTCAAGCACCCAAGCTAACTGGCTAAAGTTGGCTAGAACACCTCACTCTGACCATTTTACTCACCCTAGCAGAGCTGGTTATGCTGTTTTCATGTTATCTAGAGCGTTGGTGACTGTAACTGTGCTGCTGGCAACAATTTAATTACGTTTTTCATATTCAAGGGGTGTTGCGTGTTCGTAAATTCATCAGTTATTCTGCGCTCTGGCACACTCAGACGAGAGTGCTCTGAAATCGGAGTAGATAGCCAGAGTGAATTTACGAACGCACCCATATTATGAGAACAGTGCTATGTACACAAGCAGCTTTAATCAAGCCTAATTATTAGTGTGAACGCAACACAATGATGAGTGTTAATAGGCTCATTGGGTGTTGACCAGATTAAGAACGTGTTAAATAGCATCCTTTATACTAACAGTGTTTAAATAGTATACAATGGACAGCATGGAGGATTTTAAAGGGATTGTTTACATTACATGTTGACCAAGAGGTCATATAGGGTCAGATAGTTAAATAAGATACAGTATTCACCATTTCAGCGTTCTCTATTTCAGTATTCACTATTTCAAAATGAATTGGATCCATGCAAAGTTAGGATAAGTAAAGTGGAGCAAATGACTCTTATGAAAGCTTTTTAAATAGCCTTTTCGTTTAGTTTATCACACATACTGTAACAGTGGAATAGAGAGCAGATTTAGGATTTAAGGTTTAGATTTGTAGAAGATCAAAGGGACTTCTGATTGACCCTGCCAGCCATTATTAGAATGTTCACGTTTGTTCCTCGTCAAACTGGAACATGGATTGTGTGTGTGCGCACACGTCCGTGCCTGTGATCATGTGACTCAGGAGTGTTTAACACCATGACCAGAGAAACATCAATGTAAGGGCTGCCGGCCAGAACTCTCAGGGTTCTCAGGCCGGATGAACACTTCCCCACAAATATTTTGACAGCAACAAAAAAAAAGGAGCACCAAAGTTACCAAGACGAATGTTGGCCTACATACAGAAAAGGAAACTGTTCTAGGAAAGACCTTCAAGTTCTAAGCAATCTTTGTTTCAGAATACACTGAGAAGCAAACTCGATAACACAACACAATCAGGTCAGATGTGAGTCAATTCGCTGCCAATTGTGCTAGCTATAACTATGGACATTTCCCTAAACAAATGTCTCAAATGGAAACACAAGTTAAAATTATTAGGCTAATCATAGCATATCTCTGTGTGTGTGAGTATGTATGGTATTTTGTGTGAAGTTTAGAGTCAAACATTTTAAACAAATGAGACTGTAGGCCAGTAAGTGGATATAGCCTAAGATTTATTTATCACGTTATGGAGGATACACAGTTCATTGAAACATTGAAAACATATAAAAGTGGTAAAAGGAAAACTATTTATAAACATTCAATAAATATGAAAGAATGTTTATTATATACCGTACAGACAAGTACAATGGAGTGGTTATGCCAATGAGGCATTTAGTTAAAAAATTATTCTATGCTTTGTACAAATATCAACCATCTGTTATCACCTTTCATAATATTTCTGTTTAATACCAACATTTCAGCTTAGCTCCAAATAATATAAGATGCTATGGTTTCTCAACAGTTTGGCAAATATCTCAAAGAAACACAAAAATGTAAATAACACAAATTCACAAAGATACACATACTGTAATAACCAACAGATAATGATGATGAATGTAATAACTGTGTATCATCATTTTCTAAAAATCTGCTATTAGTTTTGCACATTCCCCTTTACCCATAATAGCAATTTTAGTGTTTCATTTTATTACCCATTCAATATTTAGAAACTAAGACAATATTCAAAAATGAAATTAAGTAGTAGTGTATCGTCACTGATCATTGTCAACAAAGCTTACATCAGATTAAGTAAACAAATGATTAATTCATCAAACTGTATGAAAAGAAAAACCCTGATCCCACAAAACCAATAATACCATTTTTTGTTTTCTTTAAGACTGTTAGTTGAAACACGGCACACCCACAATGGTCATATCATTATATAAGACTCTCATGTTGTCCAGAGCCATATATTTATATTCTCAGTAAAGAGCTCTGGGGCTGCCTGCATATATCAAGCATCTCAGAGTAGAAGTGCTGATCTAGCATCAGGTCACCCCCTGTCCATGTAATCTTATTCATTATGATCTAAAAGGCAACACTGATCCCAAATCAGCGCTCCTACTCTGAGAACCTTGATACATACGGCCCTTGTCTCCTCTTCACTCTCTGCATGCTGAGACTCCAGATAAGGTGAGGAGTCTCTCTCTTGCTCTCTCCCTCTCCTCTAACCCCTCTTTCCTCTTCTCTCTCCTCCTCTCAGGGCTCTCAGGCGGAGGAAGACACACTCTGCTTGTAGACAGCATGGTATGCATTACGGAGCAGCACATAGGGGAAGCAGGACTCCAGAAGGTCCATTGTCAGGAACGGGGACTCCTGCACAATCTGGTAGAGAAAACACATGGATGGATATGGATAGAACCCAAAATAACCACTGTGAGAACGTCTGAAATAGCATCCTATTCCCTATATAGTGCACTACTTTAGACCAGGGCCCACATACGGCTCTGGTCAAAAGTATTGCGCTCTATAGGGAGCCATTTGGGATGCAAACTAAGTTTAATCGAGGCAGAGTAGCCCCATGGATAAGGCATAAGGGTGTGTGTTTGTGTGTGTGTGTGTGTGTGTGTGTGTGTGTGTGTGTGTGAACCAACCGGTATATTACATGTGTCAGATGATAGTTAGATGATGTGACAACGTGTCAGATGATAGTTAGATGATGTGACAACGTGTCAGATGATAGTTAGATGATGTGACAACGTGTCAGATGATAGTTAGATGATGTGACGTGTCAGATGATAGTTAGATGATGTGACAACGTGTTAGATGATAGTTAGATGATGTGACAACGTGTTAGATGATAGTTAGATGATGTGACAACATGTCAGATGATAGTTAGATGATGTGACAACGTGTCAGATGATAGTTAGATGATGTGACAACGTGTCAGATGATAGTTAGATGATGTGACGTGTCAGATGATAGTTAGATGATGTGACAACGTGTTAGATGATAGTTAAATGATAGTTAGAGGATGTGACAACATGTTAGATGATAGCTAGTTAAGTCATATGTTAAGTTCAACGTTTAAGATCTATACAATAAAACTCCAATCTACTCATACTAAAGTAGGCCTAACTTTATAATTCTGAGTCATTCGGTTTGATATAGTATCATAAATTAATAGTATAGGACTTACCTTCCCAGGTCTCCCTTAGGAAATAGTTATTCTGACCTCAATGGGACTTAAATAAAGGTTAAATAGAAAATGGCACCCTTTTACCTATATATTGCACTAATTTTAGCATGAAACACGTGAGTGGCTGACGACGTCCAAAGTCTTTGCTGTTGCAACACAAAAGAGATTGTCTGCGGACACTGTTCAGAGGTGCTAAGTACTGTCGGCATGCAAACATTTGACAATCCTACTGGGGTGTCTGAACTTTTTGACCAGGGCCCATAGGGAATAGTTGCCATTTGGGAAACATCCATACAGTATGTGACCCACCATGTCCAGGAGCAAGTAGACAGATTCTCTGTTCCTTGTTGTGGTTTTGTCAGTCTCCTGGCCGATCTTCAGCAAACTGGAGGAGGCAAGCTGCACAGGAGAGAAAGAACAAATTATGTCCAGTACTAAGCTTTATCTGTGTCTGGGGAAACCGACCCTGAAAGTGTAGAAGCACTTGTGTCTCTTTCCATCAGTTTCACAATGTTACTAGATGTTTAAACCACAATGTTACTAGACATTTAAAGTCTATATTACAGTCACTATGAATAACCCCAAACCACCAGTTTACCATTCTAGCCTTGCCATGTGGGTTCAGCTTTGACACATGGTGAAAATGTACTCTTGGATTTAAACTAAACACTCCAGCGTTTCAAAGAGGACCTGGCTTGGGCTGTGTCTCACATGGTTTCAAATTGGAAACGGCATTAAAGATTTCAACACTGTTGTAGTAATACATTATTGGAGTGCAATAAAAAAGTAAGAGGACATTGAGGAATAATTCCAACGGAAATAGATAGAGTGGAAAACAAGGTTAGTGGTGCGCTGTGCCCTCCTCCTCAGCAATGCAGAAAAAGCGCCAGTCATCCAGAAAAATTCATTTAAGATATTCAATTTAAAATGATTTAGAATCACCGAAGGTTTATGGAACATAATGTTTTTCAAGCCTGGTTATGAAAATACAAAAATTATATAAATAAAAAATGATCCTGCCTTTTCCCACGTTGTGTGTATTAAACCATGGATGCGTCCCAAATAGCACCCTATTCCCTACATAGTGCACTACTTTTGACAAGGGCCCAAATAGAAATTAAATATAAAACAGATGAAGGAAGAGAGCTGCTTCTAATAAATAATAAAAAAGGGTGAAGAGAAATGTGTGGTATAAACCAAATGGACTATCACTATAAAACGTACTGCAAGGAACTCTTTGAGGCGGTCCTCGATGCTGCCTTTGTGGATGGTGAATAAAGCTGCAGCGATCTGGTTTATAGCTTTAGCCAGACAGTGGATGTTGTTGCAGTGACCTGTGAAAAGATTACATACTTTAAACACTGTGGGTAAAACGATCTACTATATCTTACAGCACTGTTAACAAGGACGATTATGAAGGAACCATATCAATAAGTATAACAACAAATGTCCTTAAAATGTACATAGAACATATACTTAATTTATCTAAGAACAGGTACCTTGGATAGCAGGGCTATACTGGGACATGACGTTGCTTGCCAAGGTGGGTATAGAGACTGCCACAAAGACCATCAGCAGGCACGCTATCTTGTACTCTTCCTCCGGACTGATGTTCTCTGTTACCAAAGAAAGGAAATGTCTATTAACAAACCATCACCCTCACAGCTTAACAACACACCTTTATCTTGGCATAATGACATAGAGAATCAGGGGGATCCATTTGGGATATTATCCGAAAACGAATACCCGCTAGCCAAGACAAACTGCAGTATGGCTCCGTAATTAACTGTCATTTATATTTACAGGACTGGGAGAGGATTCAACTATGTGGACCCAATAAGGGGTAGGAGTGCCTCCCAAATGGCACCCTATTCCCTATGGGCCCTGGTCAAAAGTAGTGCACTACATAGGGAATAGGGTGCCATTTGGGACGCATTTTAGGAGATGAGGTTGAGGGTTGATAACTATTTTGAAAGTAAACATTAGAAGTTTGTATAAGAACAGCCGCGGTATATAACAGAATGTCTTCACTGGCCAAAAGTCCCCCAGGGCTCTTAGTAGCTCTGAGTTAAAGCAATGTTATTGAGTATTTTCCTTAGAGCAACAGAGAGAGGCTGGGAACTTGAGGAGAGCCATTGGCTTTGCCCTAAATGGCACCTTATTCCCTATATAGTGCAATACTTTTTTACCAGACCCCTATATATGGGTTGGGTGCAATTTGGGACGCACACACAGAGTAATCTCTGGAAATAGGGTACCATTTGGGACGCACAGCAGGGCCCATAGGGCTCTGGTCAAAAGTAGCGCGCTATATAGGGAACTGGGTGCAGAAATTGGACTGGACTTTGTGGATATGGCTGCAGGCTACATGACTTGACAACCTAATACCAGTGTGCATAAGCATCAACATGTCCTGTTAAGTAACCCGTCCCTCAGGGCTGCTGAGGTGTCCAAACGTTAACTAAACAAACACCTGGCCTATCTGTTGCGATTATGAAATTGACAGGACATAATTTATTTTTAATTTATGAAAACTTTTAGTTTTCATACATGACTACAGAGTGGAATGTAGTTCTAATGCTTGTCCAACTCTCTCCCTCTGCCATTATCAACAGATTACTTTTCAAACTGTGAGATTTCAACAATGAATTAGTCATCCTTTCCACAGCATTTGGACATGGAACTCAGGCTATGAGGCATATGATAGTCATCATAATTTCAGCTAAACAACTTAACATACACTACATGACCAAAAGTATGCGGACACCTGCTCGTCAAACATCTCATTCCAAAATCATGGAGTTGGTCCCCCCCTTTGCTGCTATAACAGCCTCCACTATTCTGGGAAGGCTTTCCACTAGATGTTGGAACATTGCTGTGCGGACTTGCTTCCATTCAGCCACAAGAGCATTAGTGAGGTCGGGCATTGATGTTGGGCGATTAGGCCTGGCTCGCAGTCGGTGTTCCAATTCATCCCAAAGGTGTTAGATGGGGTTGAGGTCAGGGCTCTGTGCAGGCCAGTCAAGTTCTTCCACACCGATCTCAACAAAACATTTCTGTATGGACCTCGCTTTGTGCACAGGGGCATTGACATGCTGAAACAGGAAAAGGCCTTCCCCAAACTGTTGCCACAAAGTTGGAAGAATCGTCTAGAACGTCATTGTATGCTGTAGCGTTAAGATTTCCCTTCACTGGAACTAAGGGGCCTAGCCCGAACAATGAAAAACAGCCCCAGATCATTATTCCTCCTCCACCAAACTTTACAGTTGGCACTATGCATTGGGGGAGGTAGCATTCTCCTGGCATCCGCCAAACCCAGATTTCTCCGTCGGACTGCCAGATGATAAAGCGTGGCGGCAAGCTTTACACCACTCCAGCCGACGCTTGGCATTGCGCATGGTGATTTTAGCCTTGTGTGCGGCTGCTTGGCCATGGAAACCCATTTCATGAAGCTCCCGACAAACAATTATTGTGCTGACGTTGCTTCCAGAGGCAGTTTGGAACTCGGTAGTGAATGTTTCAACCGAGGACGGATGATTTTTACGCGCTACGTCCTTCAGCACTCGGCGGTCCTGTTTTCTGAGATTGTGTGGCCTACCACTTCGCGGCTGAGCCATTGTTGCTCCTAGACGTTTTCACTTCAAAATAACATCACTTACAGTTGACTGGGTCAGCTCTAGCAGGGCAGAGAGTTAACGAACTGACTTGTTGGAAAGGTGGCGCAGTGGTCTAAGGCACTGCATCGCAGTGCTAGCTGTGCCACTAGAGATCCTGGTTCGAATCCAGGCTCTGTCGTAGCTGGCCGCGACCGGGAGACCCATGGGGCGGCGCACAATTGGCCCAGCATCGTCCAGGGTAGGGGAGGGAATGGCCGGAAGGGATGTTGGTAGAGCATGGCATTTGCAACGCCAGGGTTGTGGGTTTGATTCCCACGGGGGGCCAGTATGAAAAAATACAAAAATATAATGTTTGCACTCACTAACTGTAAGTCGCTCTGGATAAGAGTGTCTGCTAAATTATGTAAATGTAAATGTGGCATCCTAAGACGGTGCCACGTTGAAAGTCACTGAGCACTTCAGTAAGGCCATTCTACTACCAATGTTTGTCTATGGAGATTGCATGGCTGTGTGCTCGATTTTATACGCCTGCCAACAACGGGTGTGGCTGAAATGAGCAAATCCACTAATTTGAAAGGGTGTCCACATACTTTTGTATATATAGTGTATGTGTCCAGATTTCTCAATTGCGGCTTAAGTCAAATGTAAGTGATTTGCTTATTTTTACATTTTATAAAAGTACAGACTCGGAGCTTCAAACTGGTATATCATACACTGTAGTTGGAGGAAACATGGGACAAGTTGATAAACATGTTATTCCATTTAGGAGAAAATGCCCATTGAAAGATTTTGATGAGATTTTCACACTTCCTAGAGAGCTCTTCTTTGTTTACGTCCATTCAGCACTGTTCACACCCTCTTAACCCTTAGCCCCACCCCACCCACACATGTGTGAGTCAGCATGGCATTTTCCTCCAGAAAGTCTCTCTACTTAAACCCAGCTAAATTCAGGTAGCTGTAGCAACACTTTTGCAGTTTTCCATAGCTATATCTTTCCAAAAATCTGTGGTAGCAAAGATGATCTATATACTAACCAGGGATCCCCCATTCTGTTATAGACAGAAGCCTGTGACATGACAGACCAATCAGAACTCATCTCTCGGCATGTCCAACCACTCCATTATCTCAGCCAATCATGACTGTTATGGGTATGTTGTCATCGGCAAGGACTAGGGAGTTTTTTTTAGGATAAAAATAAAAGGAATAGAGTGGCCTGAGTGGCCCTGTTACAGTTTTGACTGAAATCGGCTTGAAAATCTATGAAGATTTGAAAATGGCTCTCTATTTGAAAATGGCTGTCTAGATCAACAACCAACTTCACAGAGCTTGAAGAATTGTTTAAAGAATAATGTGCAAATATCGTACAATCCAGGTGTGAAAAGCTCTTAGAGACTTACCCAGAAAGAGTCACAGCTGTAATTGCTGCCAAAAGTGATTCTGACATGTATTGACTCAGGGGTGTGAATACTTACGTAAATATAATATTTTTGTATTTAATTTTCAATACATTTGCAAACATTTCTAAAAACATGTTTTCACTTTGTCATTATGGGGTATTGTGTGCAGATGGGTGAGATAAAAAAAATATAGTTATCCATTTGTAATTCAGGCTGTAAGACAACAAAATGTGGAATAAGTCAAGGGGTATGAATACCTTCTGAAGGCACTCTGTTCTCCTTGGATAAACTAGGCTCATAATTTAACATGTTTATTCATATTTACGGATCTCGTACAAGTGTGTAATTAAGGCACATGAAAGTTCACATGTTCAAGAAGGCATGTTTTTTTTTTTTTAACTGGCCTTACTGTGAAGTAGGAAGTAGCGTCAAACGCCTCAGATCCTGTAACTGGACACATATCCGTTAATTCCAAATTGATGTTGTAAATGGACGATTTACTAAATCCAAGATGTGCAGTAAACTATTTGACAAATGTTTTCTTGTTACAGTTAATCATTCATTATAACATTTGCTCTGGATAATTATTCAACAATCATTTCATCGAAGTCCTCAACAATGGTGCGTACAGAAGAATGGGCTTCCATGTAACAATTGTGATGCAGCAGTGTATGGTGCATCCTATCTCACCTGACTTCTGAGAGGAGAGGGCCACCACTAAGGCAGGATCTATCTCACAGGGCAGACCTGCTGCAGACGACAGCTCATACACGTTCATGGCCACCTGATGATCAACAGAGACATAAAGGACATCAGAGAATTAGTCTGCTTCAAACACAATAGCCATTCATATATAATATTAATAATTATATAGCTATGCCACTTAGCAATTTACAGTACAATGTATGTGTATGTGAGCCTTGTGGGACTTAGTATTCTTATGCGATCCATGTCGGATCTGAACCCACAACCCTGACCTCATTAAGCATAATTTAAAGGTCCTACTGTGTCTCACCTTCATGTCGGTCTCTCTGGGAATGTGATCCTTGAAGTCCTCCACTGAGCTCACCAGGAATGGGATGTGGCAGGACAACACCTGGTGACAAGAAGAGGATCATGCTTTATTTCAATACAAAGCCAGAAATATTAGATTAAACTAACTTTGGCACAGGGTGAAATGTGACAAAACCAGCTTGAGACAGATCAAAATAATTGTGTACTGTATTGTGTCAATATATGATGCCATTCAAGTGGTGGAAAGTTAAAGGGCCGACATACATCTCGGAGTGCCTCCTGAGCCAGGGATCGGAATGAGAGGATGACTCCAATGATGGTCATCCTTTTCAGAACACTGTCGACTGCTGTAACACCAAGACAAAGAACATGCAAGTCTCACAGACAACTGACATGTCTCTAGTAATTTTACAGGTATGCAAATGAGACTAAGGTGTTTTGTTATGTCACTTTTGCCCTTCAGCAGCCATAACCAAAGCCATGTAGGCAGAACAGTACTATGGGAAAATGTATATGTAGCCCTTGGCAGCACTGAGCCTGGTGTCTGTCTGGGCCAGCAATACTCTGACCAGGCCAATATAAATACAGAGTACCCACATGAGAGCTTCTTGAACAGAGAAGCCATATGTTCAGGCTTGTCAAAGCTGGTCCTCATCTGGGTCAGAATCTCAACGTTGTCCACCACCAGTTTCTGAGGAGAGGAGGAGGAGAAGAGAGAGAGAGGCCTCCTAAGTGGTGAGGGGATTATTTGGGGAATCAACTAGGGATCCTAATTCCAAAGACTTTCCCCTTCGTTCGCACAACAGGAAAAGGCCCTTACCATCACCAGATGCTGCACTATGCGGGGGGTCTTACAAATGTTCGTCCCAAATGGCACCCTTTTCCCTATATTCTGCACTACTTTTGGCTCTGGTCAAAAGAAGTGCACGATGGGCTCTGGTCAAAAGTAGTGCACTATGTAAGGAATAGGGTGCCATTTGGGTTGCAACCAAAAAAAATTAGAAGCGTGTAATTTTTTGTGATGGGTGTCTTGGCGAAAAGAGCCAAAGGGTTGTTAAAAAAAAAAAAAAAATCTGACAGTCATGTGTGCTGCTCGCAATGGCTTGCAAGCCTTCCACTTGTTCAGTTTGCTTTGAGAGCGTTTGCCAAAAACGTGTTTTGTGTTAAGTCATTTGATGCACACGGCTTGGTTTGTACAGGCTGAATAAAACCAATGCTTCATTCCTACGTCTGATTGTGAATCAGATACCAAACTTATTTTCTTTTCACAAATGTCTTTCAGAAGTGAAGGGAAGGTTTGCATGCCAGAGAATCATAAATATGTGCCAGAGCTACTTTCACACACTAATGTGTGCTCTAGGGAGTAAAAGACCAATTATATTATAATCTAAAGAACCGTTTGAAAAAACATGAATAATCTTGTCAGCCTGCTGCAATAAAATAAGAAACATTGATCATCATTCTTTAGGTAAATTACATTCCACCGAGAACTCTTTCAAAACAGTTTTGCAGCTCTGAAGTGCAACACTAAAAAATACCTGATTTTGGACTAAAAATGACTGATGTTGGTGCTAACCATAGTACCTTTTCATCCCAGTTAGATCAGATCTAATCAAAGAGATTATGCCGCTCTAAAGTGCAACGCTAACCAATAAATATGTTATGGAACGCAGAGGCCTACGCATGTACATCTATTAGGACTGATTTTGGTGCTAATTTAGATTTATCAGTCTGGCTAGCTGCTTTCGTAACACTTACCACTAACACTAAACCAATTTTGTCCCAGTCTTATTAGATCTAATTAAAAAGATTTAGCTGATCGCACAGAATTCCCTGGCCCTCTTTATTAGTTACCAAAAATGTAGTGAGGGTAGGGAAACTGATCAAGTGTCAGTCAGCAGTTAGAGGTTACCAGTAACCCACACTGCCTCTGTTCTGGGAAATAAGTCATTAAGGAGTAATGAAGAAACAACAGAACTGCTCTGCTGTGGGTCTGGCTCTGTTTCCAGGGGAAAACTCAGCTTCTTAAAGAGCCTCTAATAACTCATACTGCCAAGGCTTCATCTGAAATGGCACCCTATTCCCTATATAGTGCACTACTTTTGACCAGATCCCATAGGAGACCGCCACAGGACCCAGGTCAAATATGTGCACTATATAGGGGATAGGGTCGCATTTCGGACACACACTAAGAATTATAGAAGAGAAAAACTAGGGTTGTGTTCATTAGGCACCAAACGGAACAAACCGGTCCGAAACAGGGGACAGACTTTCTGGACTTGTGCAATAAGACATTTTCCTCCAATGAACATGACCCAGCCTGCCCTGGGGTAACCTCTGGAATTCGACCTTTAATCCCTGATCTCCTTGACCCCGTGACTCCTCACCTTGAGCTCGGCCACCTGGGAGGAGATGTGCCACATGAGGCTCTCACTGAGGAACTTCATCCCGTAGGGTCCCAGCAGCTCCGACAGGGACCGCATCTCTGAGAAGAGAAGAATATAGGAATAAAATGTCCAAAATGTCCCCTGTAGCTCAGTTGGTAGAGCATGGCGCTTGCAATGCCAGGGTTGTGGGTTCGTTTCCCACGGGGGGCCAGTATGAAAATGTATGCACTCACTAACTGTAAGTCGCTCTGGATAAGAGCGTCTGCTAAATGACTCAAATGTAAATGTAAATGTCCAATGGACATTTGGTGGTCTGCTTTAATCCAACCCATCCAACACAAGGTCATGGAAAAGTTCTGTAATCTTCTGTCTACTTAGGCTACTTTATTGTCCAATGAATGTCCACAAATGTCCAACATACATGTATTTTCCTGCTTTATCCCAACCCCTCGACATAAGATCATGGAAGAGTTCTGTTAGTGATTCTTAGTTCCATCCAACACTGCTATAGCTATAAACAAGCACCGTTTAAATAAGCTAGGTAGTAAATCATGACTCATACTCTCAGTACCATGAGTCTATTGGTGTCTAAAAGGATAGTATAACTGATGAAGCTTACCTGAGATATCAGAGTATTCCTCTGCGTTGAAGGTGAGCTCGTTCTCTGTAGGCAGGTTGACAAAAGCCTTCATGGCTGGGAAGTAAGCTATGTGTCCGTTGCTAACTTGGCGCAGTAAAGTCTCCAGATACCTGTAGTACAGAGAGAATGTATGGGTTGTCATTTTTGGTGGTTATGTGATTGAATGGAAGGCATGGGATTCCCATCAAGGCTGGGATTCAAACCAACCCAGATTAATAACCTGCGCACTGCGATAGACTTTTAAAGGCAATTTCTCAGACGTTCACAGAGACCACGTTCATCGCGGATGTCGGCTCAAGCAGAAATCAACATTCAAACTCAATCGCAGTACACAGGACATTTATATGCGTTGGTGTGAATCAAGGCCCAAAACTGTTATTCCCAGACAGGCAGAAAGTGGAAATTCCTATTGTTTTGTGAATGTATTCCAGTTGGTGAAGAGGCTAGTGATGGTGGGTTAGGGTTAGGGGGTTAGGGTTAAGGGGTTAGGGGTAAGAGGTTAGGACTAAGTGGTTAATGGGTTAGGAGGTTAGGGTTAAGGAGTTAGGAGGTTAGGATTAAGGAGTTAGGAGGTTAGGGTTAAGGAGTTAGGAGGTTAGGGTTAAGGAGTTAGGAGGTTAGGGTTAATGGGTTAGGAGGTTTGGGTTAATGGGTTAGGAGGTTAGGGTTAATGGGTTAGGAGGTTAGGGTTAATGGGTTAGGAGGTTAGGGCTAATGGGTTAGGAGGTTAGGGTTAATGGGTTAGGAGGTTAGGGTTAATGGGTTAGGAGGTTAGGGTTAATGGGTTAGGAGGTTAGGGTTAATGGGTTAGGAGGTTAGGGTTAAGGGGTTAGGAGGTTAGGGTTAAGGGGTTAGGAGGTTAGGGTTAAGGGGTTAGGAGGTTAGGGTTAATGGGTTAGGAGGTTAGGGTTAATGGGTTAGGAGGTTAGGGTTAAGGAGTTAGGAGGTTAGGGTTAAGGGGTTAGGAGGTTAAGGTTAAGGGGTTAGGAGGTTAGGGTTAAGGAGTAAGGAGGTTAAGGTTAAGGGGTTAGGAGGTTAGGGTTAAGAAGTTAAGGGGTTAGGACTCACCAGTTGGTGTAGAGGCTGGTGATGGTTGGTTCTCCGTGACTGTCCAGATGTTGTGTCTGCTGCAGCAGCACGTTGTTGAACACCCTGGTGATATCTATCTGAACATAGTTCTCTATGCTCTGGAGCACAGTCATGTAGGCCCTGACACTGGTCAGCAGCTCAGACGGCTTGGCTATCTCCTGGGTGGCCTGGTTATACATGGTCATTCCCACGATAGACCTAGAGAAGGAACAAAACAGGATCCATCAGTCAATCAATCTAGGGCAGTGGTCACCAACCTTTTTTGAGTCGAGATCACTTTCTGAGTCAAAATGCAAGCAGGGATCTAAGCCTATGCAGCAACATTAACCTATTAAAAACAGTACTGTAGTAATGAGGTTTGTGCAGCAAGCTATAGGCCCAAAACCTTATCAACGCATATTGGCTTTGCTTGAATTGCCCTGCCATTAAAAAAATATATATATATATATATTTCAACATTTGAGGTAGGCTGGTAATAGATCAGTTGATGTATTACTTGTGAGGCACAGCTGAGTGAGCATACATTTAAATAATTAGCTTTTTTTTAGAGCCTGCATCTGATGGTTAGTCTCAGCGGAGGGCGAGAGCAGCAGACTAGGGTCCGCCTCTCAACGTCCCTCTGCTCTCCCTTTCCTCCACTGACACTGAGCAAAAAGGGCCACTGACCAAAAAGGGACACCGTCTTCCAGCTGATGGGGAAACTCGAGTCGCCTCATGCACAAATTAATGTTGTTACTCCTATGACCAGAAAGTTAAATATTCCTAGATATAACAATTGCCCAAGCCGCTAATAATAACAACAACGCAAGCCTACCGATACACTTTCCTACTCATTCATTGCAGCTGCAGTGCTGGTTGTAGCGCGAGTGGAAGTAGGAAGAACAGGCATTTTATGTTAAATAGAAAGTGTTGACAGTGCTGACTAAAAACTTAAACATGAACTCACTCATAAAAACAGAAGCTCTTTGCAGTATTCGGTGACAGTCTCTCTCTGGTCATGGTTTTAAAAGTTTTAAAATCTCACAGTATTAACTTTGCTGTTGCTTTCTTTTATGCCTGCTACGTTACTGCAGACACGGTAATCTGAGCCATCCGATTGGCCAGTGGTAGGCCTATAGTGCACTTGATTTGCTCCTCCGGGGCCCGCCGGGAAGGCAGTTTGTACCTTGAGACATATGAAATGGTTCAAAATGGGAACACGTCGCCTACCCGGCACGCAAGGCAGCTGAATCAGGTGCACCTACCGCCAACAGTGCAAGACGCTTATCTTGGTGTTTTTTACAGAGATGTTTGGTGATCGACTAGGAATGCCTTGGAGATCGACCAGTCGATCGACCGGTTGGTGACCACTGATCTAGGGCATGATGACCAATTCTTTGTAATTCACTGACAGAGGCTGAGAGGGAGTTCATATTGTCCTGGAAGTAAATATTTGACCGGCAGATCCAACGGTTAAGGTTAAGCATATAGGGATCAATCAGTCAATCAAATGTATTTATAAAGTCCTTTTTACATCAGCAAATGGTGCCTGTTAGTTCCATGGACTCCAGGGAGTTTGGACGAGTCTTCAACAACGTTCAACAATGGCTGTATTGTTTTCCCTAATCCCTAACCTTTCCATATTTCTACGTAGATAACTTGGTTGTGCAGCTGCAAGGAGTGGAGCGGGCAGATCGGATCAAACGCGGCAGGGTTTAAAAACTATGGCGCAACAAGTGATAAAACGCTTTTCACACCCTGACCGAGCATTAGGAACATTTAGTAAATAACTAGCAACTTTTCTCGTCTGTCTGAATTGTGCTGGGAACTGGGAACAGAAGGGCAGTAAAACTTTTATCCTGCGCTAACCTTAAGGAGCGGAGCAGGGCGTAGTGGTAAGTGGCCGTAATAGGGTGTGTGTGCAAGGTAATAGGCCCTTTGAGTGTGGGAGCGCCTTTGTGTGTGTGTGTGTGTGTGTGTGTGTGTGTGTGTGTGTGTGTAAGTGTGTGTGAGCGTGCCTTTGTGTGTGCATGGTAATAGGCCCTCTCATCTCTGGGAAGCACGGCCAGTGGAGAAGTTCATGGCCCGGGGGAGAGGGGTCAGCCAACGCACCCACGTCACACACAGGATGCGCGCACACACACAGACACACACACACACACAGACAAACACACACACATACACACACACACACACACACACACACACACACACACACACACACACACACACACACACACACACACACACACACACACACACACACACACACACACACACACACACACACACACACACACACACACACACACACACACACACACAGAGGGGCCAGCCAACGCACCCACGTCACACACAGGATGCGCGCACACACACAGACACACACACACACACACACAGACAAACACACACACACACACACACAGACAAACACACACACACACACACACACACACACACACACACAGAGGGGCCAGCCAAAGCACCTACGTCACAACCCTAACTCCCACAGCGGAAAATACCTGTTACTCTCTCCAGCACAATGTTTATTTCCAATTCTGGACACGTGTCAAAAATCACTCTGACCCCCAAAAATATTTGTCTGTTGGACCAATAAATCACACAGATAAAATCATAAACCCCTGAGAGTTTTTTTTGTTAATCTGGGGATTGTAATTATACTGAGCAAAATTATAAAAACGCAACAGGCAACAATTTCAAAGATTTTACAAAGTTACAGTTCATATAAGGAAATCAGTCAATTGAAATAAATAAATGAGGCCTAATCTATGGATTTCACATGACTGGGAATACAGATATGCATCTGTTGGTCACAGATACCTTTAAAAAAAGGTAGGGGCGTAGATCAGAAAACAAGTCAGTATCTAGTGTCTGGTGAGTATGAAGGCCATGGAAGAACTGGGACATTTTCAGCTTCCAGGAATTGTGTACAGATCCTTGTGACACTGGGCCGTGCATTATCATGCTGAAACATGAGGTGATGGTGGCTGAATGGCACAACAATGGGCCTCAGGATCTCATCACGGTATCTCTGTGCATTCAAGCATGGCATTTGCACGCTCCCTCAGACATCTGTGTCATTGTATTGTGTGACAAAACTGCACATTTTAGAGTGGCCTTTTATTGTCCACAGCATAAGGTGCACCTGTGTAATGATCATGGATTCTGTTATACACTGAACAAAAATATAAATGCAACATGTAAAGTGTTGGTCCCAAATGGATGACAATGTTCCTTGATTTATAACAATAAGCTAAGCCTCAAAGCCTTTCTGCGTGAGATATTCAATGGATTGGTGTTCTGGGGAGGAGAGGCAGGTTTCATAACTGACCAGCCAACGTTACAACACAGTGGAAACAGAGAGAGAGCATAGTCAGACTATCTGCAGGAATTCACCCATAGCCTCCTGTGAGGACTGGTACTGTAATAAAAGAGTGGATACCCTGAGTGTGTGTGTGTGTGTTCGTGTCCGTGTGTATGTGTGTGTCTGTGTGTGTCCGTGTGTGTGTGTGTGTGTAAGCACGTGTGTGTACTCACTTGGTGAAGCGTATCTCCAGGTGTGAGGTGAGGTACTCCCTTGGAGTGAAGGTATGTTCCCATATCACCATGTTGGGTACGTAGTTGATGGAGAAACACAGCTCGGACAACGCCGTGTGAAGCTTATCCAGGCTAAGAACACACACACATCAGTTAGGCATTAAAACCTCATTTTGTTCAGATTTAAGGGGAAGTCTGTGACAGAGCAGATGGATTAAGTTCCTCCAGAACCACAGCTAATGTTGTTTTTGGCTCAGACCTGAATCTATATTATTATATTATCCCTGGTGGTGGTCTGTTTCTATGTATCTTACTGGAAACTGAGAATTGGGATTAGAGTGGAGAATTAGGAGTAGCGTAGTAGTTAGGACCAAATTAGAGTGGAATACACAGAGCAGGGAGGGCAAGCGGTGGAAATATATCTTAGTATGGTATTATTCAAACACAGTGGGAAATAAAGTTGCATAACCATGGCCGCGTCCCAAATGGCACCCTATTCCCTATATAGTGCACTACTTTTGACCAGGGCCCATAGTAGTGCACTATGTAGGGAATAGGATGCAATTTCAGAAGCATGTAGACCATGACTTGCAAAACCATTGATTAATAGTGCACTGTTGAAAACATCTGAAAGTGGAGAGGAGGTCATGGAGTGCAGAAGTTGGGGTGGAGGGGGACAGGTCTCTGTGTTTCAGGCCTCTTTCCCAATTTGTCTTTCCTTGATTCCTCGGAATTGGAGGAGAATATCCAAGGTTCCCTCCCCGTGGACGTTCTCCAATTTGTTTTGAGAAAGAGGAGAGAGGACGAATCGAGCAAAGACACATTGGAAAAGAGTCCCAACCCCCAACTGAGGGACCTTACAGAGTGTACACTACTTACTTGCTGACCAGCAGCCTGTTCTTCCTCATGCTCTCTACTCCAGGCTTCTCTCTCTCAGGCTCTCCTTTCTTCCCCATCTGCTTCTTTGACTTCTTGTTCACCGCCTGACTGATGGTTTTGGCACAATGTTTTGGCAGCAGCTGCAACAGGAGCAACAGGAAAACCCCTTTAACACCCACAGACCAATAAGGAATGAAGTGACAAATTATATTTTGAAAGCACTTAGTTGGAACATGCACAATTTAGGCTATATGGTGTTCTATTTCCCTGTACTGTACATGGTCCAAATAGAATTATGAAAAGTATCTGACTTAAGACCTACAGTTGAAAAACTTAAATGGCTAGTGAATAGGTTCAGTTCCAACATACTAATACTAATAACAAGTTATGCACTCACTGTAAACCTAAATGACTAGGCTTAATCTGTGTTTGGGAAACGGCCCTTCCTCAGAAATGATAATACATTAGATGGCTAGGAATGACACAAGTGGTTATGAGAGCAGACCCAGACCCCTGATTCATTCATCAGCATGACAACATGCACTCACCTGGTTGCTTAGCATTAGTGCTGAGCGATTAACCGAAAGGTTTTTAAACAACTAATTGACCAACATCGGTTCAATTATTTGAATTCCATTTAGTTCGGGGGTTTTCTGTGAGCTCAATGCGCTGCATTTTCTCTAGACATAAATCAGATCATGCCCAAACGGTGCGATGTAGTAGGGAGTTGTAGTTTCCAACAGGCCAATGTTCTACATAGTTTTGCGCAGAAAACGTGATAATTAGCCACAATGACCATAATCAATTGCGTGCCTACCTGTCCGGTCTGTGTTTCTTTTACACCTGCTACGTAAGAGACCAGAAGAATGCACTACATAGAGAGCAGTTGCTTCACAAGGTATCTCTACCTGAAAATACATGATCTAAGTGATTGATAGACAGTTGGTATTCAGCAGTCATAAATGTATGCCTTATTTCACTTTGAAGAACTACTAAAATGTTGATTTTATCACAGCTAGGGAGCAGCTCTATAGAGATGAGATGATGACTTGGAATGAAATAATAATGTCAACAAATGTAATATACACAACAACTGAAATATTTTATTAAAGCCAAGTAATGTGAATAAATGATGGGTTTTAAGTGATAAGCAGTAATGGACAGTCACTACCATCATGGGACTTTTATTAATTGTTGTATTCTGTGTTATTACAGCATTCAACCCAAATAATACATACTGTAGTGCATTAAATGTTTAAAAAATTGTTTTACGAAATCAAAAATCGTGATTATTCTTTAATAATCGAACCAAAACCGAACTGACCTCAAATCGCTCAGCACTACCTAGCATGGATTGTGATGAATCACCATGACAACAGAACCTCACCTGGTCGCTGAGCGTGCATTGCTCGGTGCAGATGTCTGTGATGAGGTTGCGGGCCTGTTTAGCCATTTCATCCAGAAACATGTTGCACAGGGACAGGCTTCGGTCGCCTATGTGGTGCCTCTGTAGGAAGGGAAGAAAATGTTGTTATCTTGGGAAAAGCTACACTATATATACAAAAGTATGTGGACACCCCTTCAAATTGGTGTATTCGGCTATTTCAGCCACACCCCTTTCTGACAGGTGTACAAAATCAAGCACACAGCCATGCAATCTCCATAAACAAATATTGGCAGTAGAAGAGCTGAACTGAACTGAAGAGCTCAGTGACTTTCAATGTTGCACCGTCATAGGATGCCACCTTTCCAACAAGCTGCCCTGGTCAACTGTAAGTGCTGTTAATGTGAAGTGGAAACGTCTAGGAGCAACAACGGCTCAGCTGCGAAGTGGTAGGCCACACAAGCTCACAGAACGGGACCGCCGAGTGCTGAAGCACATAGCGCGTAAAAATCGTCTGTCCTCGGTCGCAACACTCACTTCCGAGTTCCAAACTGCCTCTGGAAGCAACGTCAGCACAATAACTGTTCATCGGGAGCTTCATGAAATGGGTTGCATGGCCAAGCAGCCACACACAAGCCTAAGATCACCATGCGCAATGCTAAGCGTCGGCTGGAGTGGTGTAAAGCTCGCCACCATTGGACTCTGGAGCAGTGGAAACGTGTTCTCTGGAGAGGAATCACGCTTCACCATCTGGCAGTCCGATGGACAAATCTGGGTTTGGTGGATGCCAGGAGGACGCTACCTGCCTGAATGCATAGTGCCAACTGTAAAGTTTGGTGGAGGAGGAATAATGGTCTGAGGCTGTTTTTCATGGTTTAGGTTAGGTCCCTTAGTTCCAGTGAAGGGAAATCTTAACGCTACAGCATACAATGACATTCTAGACGATTCTGTGCTTCCAACTTTGTGGAAACAGTTTGGGGAAGGCCCTTTCCTGTTTCAGCATGACAATGCCCCCGTGCACAAAGCGAGGTCCATACAGAAATGGTTTGTCGAGATCGGTGTGGAAGAACTTGACTGGCCTGCACAGAGCCCTGACCTCAACCCCATCGAACACCTTTGGGATGAATTGGAACACCAACTGCGAGCCAGGCTTAATCGCCCACCATCAGTGCCCGACCTCACTAATGCTCTTGTGGCTGAATGGAAGTCCCCGCAGCAATGTTCCAAGAAGAGTGGAGGCTGTTATAGCAGCAAAGGTGGGACCAACTCCATATTAATGCCCATGATTTTGGAATGAGATGTTCGACGAGCAGATGTCCACATACATTTGGTCATGTAGTGTATATAGGATATTGGCTGGTGGTTGCGCAGTGGATGGTTTGGTGAATGTCTGTTTGTTAGCCTGGTTCCAGATCTAATTCCTTCAGTAGTTGTCATTGCCAAACAGATCTAGGACCAGCTGTTTGTGAATAGTAAAAAGTCTCTAGGTAGGTAGAGATCGTCTGAGTGAACCTGTCATTCATAGGTAGTCAACACTAAACAGTCCACACTGACCAAACAGTATACACTGCGACACTAAAACCGGTCACACACAGTTCCCACACACAACTCTGGTCAAGCAGTGTGCACACACCCTTTAAGCTGCAAAAAAAGAAGAGATGCTAAGACTGACTTTTCGCTGAAGTTCCGTGATCTTGTTTGTTCCAGATGGCACCCTATTCCCTTATAGTGCACTATGTTTGACCAGGGCCCATAGGGATCTGGTGAAACGTAGTGCACTATATAGGGAATATGGTACTATTTGGGACGTAGCCCTTTTACTGTTACTATAAACTGCTGTAAAAAGTTTTCTGTGCAAGATGGAAATATTCTTGGAAACATTTAGAGCTTTTCCAACATAAATAACTTTTGCAGCTGTCCAAAGCTGTGAGTAGTGGACATAGGAAGAGGAACATTTTGAAGACATGCTGAGAGAGGGAGTTTTGTGTTTGAATAAGTGAAATCCAAGCCTTCTATGTCTCAATAAATCTATTTTATTTCTCTAAGTGCACTCAGACAGCTCTTAAGCAGAAGGCTCTCCTTCAACCACTCTGCTTGGCCACATGAGAACGCCCATTGTGCCACCTATTTCAGTACCGTTTTTCAACCAATTAGCAGCAAAAATATGCCATATTAGAGGGCTCCATGTTTGGTAGGAACAAACACTTAATGAATGTGCCTGGCGTATTTCAACAGAGAGGGAAACAGAAATCTGTTGTGGAGGTTGTGTGTGCTGAGGGCTGCTGAGGGCTTCCACATTCCCCCCTGGGAGTAGCTAGTAGCTGCACCAGTGTATGGTTCAATTACAGATGTAATAAATCATGCTTTTCAGCCCTCTGCTTCTTGGTACACATACGGGTACATGGACCACAGCGCTGGATGCTTCATTCCGCGACATTCCACAACCCCCGAAAATTTGCTGTGACTTTCCTGATTCTCTGTATGGCTCCATCCTGCTGCTCTGGTCACTTGCCCTAACAGCATAGAAGGAGACACAGGTGTCTCAAATGGCACCCTATTCCCTATATAGTACACTACCTTTGACCAGAGCCCATAGGGGTCTGGTCAAAAGTTGTGGTCAAAAGAAGTGCACTGTATAGGGAAGAGGGTTCCAGTTGGGATGCAGCCATGGGCCCTAGCAGCAATAAGACGGAGCTGAAGGAGACAGACACACTTTCACATGCAGCCTCCCTCCCTCCTACCTCCAATCCCCAGGTGCAACACTGACATTATTCAGTGTGTGAGACATCCTGTGAAATGGCCTGCTTCTCTGAGACTAGCAGTCCCCCTAAGAGCTAGAAAACTACTGCGAGAGATGAAACTCCAAATAGAATAGGCTGCTACTTCACCAAGCGTTTAGCTAAGATTCCAGCTCTTGGAAAGAGATCAAGTCAAACTTATTAGTATACATACAAAACATTTTAAATCTTCACATTGCAAGTATTATACACAAACATGTACGGGGATATCTAATAAAGATGTATTTTATGTATTAATTTACCCTTTATTTAAGTAGGAAAGACCCTTGAGTACCTTTTGACATTCAACTAGGAAAGAACCTTGAAAACATATTTTGCAAGGCCGATCTGATCAATTGAATATATGAGTTATTTATGTTGAAAATAAGTGTGTTTCCTAAATGACTAGATCCCAGAGTGACCCGCCAGACCTTAGTGATGCTTACTGAAATGTTTCGTTATACGGCCGTAACATCATATCTCAATGGGACACTTCACTCACCTCCTCAGGACAGAGCTCATGGGTGCAGCTCATGAAGTGGGTACAGAGCAGAGGGAAGGAGATGGAGTGACGAGACTGGGAGGGCAGCTCCAAACACTGCTGGAACATCTTCTCAAACGCACGACTGTAAAAGCTATCAGAGGAGAGGAGAGAGATGAAAAACAGTGAAAAGGGAGAGAGAGAGAGAGAGAGAGAAGAGAGGAGAGAAGAGAGAGGGGAAAGAGTGAACAGAGGAGAGAGAGAGAAGAGATAGAGGGAGAGAGGAAAGATATGAGAAGAGAGAGAGGAAATAGGGAAGAGAGGAAGCGAGAGAGGAAAGAGCGTGAGCTGGCAACTTGGTCATACATCTCGGGTACAATAATACCTCATCTGTCCAACCCTCTCATCTCCTGTCCTGTCCGGTCCTGTCTCCACCGAACATAAAATATAAATATCATAACAAAACCCCTAACAGACAGTTAGTTACCATGGGGTTTTAGAGGATGAGTGATGGCTATATAGCCTATTACCTTTTACTATGTTTTCCTTGTAAATGGCTTTAACTTTAACTGAATATGGCAGTAGATGTAAATGTAGCCTCCAGAGATAAACCTGCCACTTGCACAGTGCATCTTTGATCCAATATATTTTTATTGATGTTATGCGTTTTCCTGTGTTCCCGTTTTTACTTTTGTATGTACATTTGACGTGTTTTTCTTAGTATTTTACTGCTTCAATTAAACTACCCAGCAATGGGACTTCATGTTTTTCTGAATTGGAGTCCCAAATGTAGAGGCCCTACCAGATGATGGAGAGGCTATATAACCTATTACCTTTTACTATGTTTTAAACGTCTGTGTAACTGAACATGGAGGTAAATGTAGACCCCTACCAGAATAGGCCATGTGGAAAACTAGCGTCTTGTCCAGGGGGTGTACTTGTACATCAAGCTGCCTCAAGCTACGGAAACATGAGATATATATATTCTCCTGCCCTCTGGGCTGTTCTGGCTCGTTTATTTACCAGAATATGGAGAGGTCAGATGTCTCCACCAGCATCTCCACCAGGGAATCCACCATCTTGGTGTGGAATATAATGGTATTCATCATCTTGCCCAGCTCACGGTGGTCTGCGATGCCCAGAGAAGCCTTGGACACACTGGTATAGGCCTAACCAATGGGGGAAACAAGGCATTATTGGTATAGGCCTTACCAGGAGAACACTTTATTTGGAGACACTAGGAAGGTCGGCCAGGGGAAAACAAAACATATTAACCCTTGACAGTTCATAATTCTTTACTCATGTATGCCATGTTGTCTCCAGCTGAAGCGGCTTTATATCTATTTTATTTGTCAAATATATCAATCAAGAAATGTTTTCTATCATGCAGTTTTAAGTCTTCCAATTAATCATATTCCTATTAGTAGCATTCCTTTCCCTCTTTCCC